ACATCGCTCTATGCCACCTGACACAACTTTTTTTCTATCTTTAACAAAATGGTCTGATGCTGGCAAAGGCCCTTTTATCTATGGTCTGAGCCTAGTTTTTAGATTGATTTTTAATATATATATCTAGACTACTGCTAAATCATTGATGTTAAAGGTATTTTGTGTTAGTGTGAATGATTTATGAATGAACATAAACAAGAGGGTCTTTACACATGGGTGCATTTACATTGAAACAAAAAGTAAGTGCAGCTTAAATGTATCTAAGATTAGATAATTGAATGTACATGCAATATTAGGGAAGCATTTCTTCAAGCATATTTAACAAGGCTATACACAGACTACCACAGTTATCTGGGATAATTTGCTTGTCATGTGTTGTAATAATAATAATAATAATAATAAAAAAAAAACAAATTTACAAAAAGAGGTGTATCTAATATAATGTATGGTTACACCAAATTGCAAGAAAATTATATACTATACTAGTGCATTTGATAGTTTAAAGTGATTGTAAAAGCTGAATTTTTTTTTATCTTCATAAGTTTTGTGCAAAAACCTTCTGTGTGCTTCTCCCCCACCCCTCATAATACTTACCTGAGCCTGATTTTGATCCAGCGCTGTGTATGGGAGCCTCGGCTCTCCTGGGTCTCTCTCCCCTCATTGGCTGAGACACAGCAGTGGGAGCCATTAGCTCCCACTGCTGTCAATCACAGCCAGTGATGAGTAAGCTGTGGTGGAGGTTGAGCCATGCTCTGTGTCTTATGACCCCAAGCAGCTTGCTCCGGGGGCACTCAGCAAAGGGGAGGGTCCAGAAGCATTAGTAGAGGACCTGAGAAGAGGAGGGTCGGGTCTGCTCTGTGCAAACCATTGCACAGAGAAGGTAAGTATGGCATGTTTGTTAAAAACTGAAATACAGAGAAGAGTCCTCCTGCGCTGAAAGGAAGTCTACCTACTGAAAGCTGCCAGCACTTAAACTGATACCCAAACAGTGTGTACAATAATCATAAATAGTGCAGCGCTTGAAGCAATACTACGTGCAATACAAAAACTGTGCTCACATACAAATGTGTCAATATTAAATAATATAAATAATATTAAAATATATTAAATCATTGAATAAAATGTATCTTAAATATATAGTGCCACTCAAAATAATCTCTTGACAATAGTGCCCACACATTAAAGAAATAATAACAGCCCCTACAAAGGAGGATAATTTAAACAGTGCTTTAAGTGTAATAAAGTGACCACAGTTCAAATACCACTCAAATAATCAAACAAAATGTCCATGAAATAATCCACAGGTGATATAAAATTCATGCAATGTGCAAAATAGTGCTTGTATTCCATGAGCGTGTCCACACTCTTCACCTACTAAGGCTAAATTGCCTCCTCACCTCCTCCAAGTGACCCCCAAGGGCCAGACAGCTTTCAGGATCACCCTGGATCCCTATTTCCTGATGGCAAGTACCTCTCCTCACAGTGTGGATCTCTTAGGGGACTCCCATTACCCATTAGGGGTATCCCGAGGAAGTCACGAGTAACCAGTGATGTAACGCGTAGGTACGCTATTACGCAGCTTCCGGTACGCGATGACGCACTTCCGGAGCCAGCCGCCATCTTGGTATACCCAGGAAGTTCCTTTACATGCAGTACACCCACATATTGGTGAGGAAGGAGGACTGCGGGAACATGTGAGTGGGTTCTTCTTTTCTGTTTACTAACAATAAAGAATCTTGGCTAAAATACTACACTTAGAGGATTCCTTTTTTGGCTCACTGAGTTGGTGAGCAATTATTCTGCAGAAGCTTCCGGTCTGGGGTAATGGGAGTCCCCTAAGAGATCCACACCGTGAGGAGAGGTACTTGCCGTCAGGAAATAGGGATCCAGGGTGATCCTGAAAGCTGTCTGGCCCTTGGGGGTCACTTGGAGGAGGTGAGGAGGCAATTTAGCCTTAGTAGGTGAAGAGTGTGGACACGCTCACGGAATACAAGCACTATTTTGCACATTGCATGAATTTTATATCACCTGTGGATTATTTCATGGACTTTTTGTTTGATTATTTGAGTGGTATTTGAAGTGTGGTCACTTTATTACACTTAAAGCACTGTTTAAATTATCCTCCTTTGTAGGGGGCTGTTATTATTTCTTTACTGTGTGGGCACTATTGTCAAGAGATTATTTTGAGTGGCACTATATATTTAAGATACATTTTATTCAATGATTTAATATATTTTAATATTATTTATATTATTTAATATTGTCACATTTGTATGTGAGCACAGTTTTTGTATTGCGTGTAGTATTGCTTCAAGCGCTGCACTATTTATGATTATATGGCATGTTTGTTATTTTTTTTTTTAAAACCAGAGCCTTTAATATCAATTTAAGTAAACCCATCATGGGAGAAACGGAGGCTGTCATTGCTAATCTACCCTTTTGAAAATGCTGTTTGTCCTGGTTTCATTCTGACTAGGGGCGGACTGACCATTCGAGCACTCGGGCACTGCCCGAGGGCCCGGGGTCAGCAGGGGGGCCCATGAGATGCCCCTGGTACCTTTCATTGGCTTTTTCATAGGTGCTTTTGGGTGTGGGCGAGGACACAGGGGCCCCATGATCCCCTATTGCCCGGGAGCCCCATGAGTTGTCAGTCCGCCCCTGATTCTGACCCTCTTACTTCATTACATTGGGTGCCTGACTTTTGTTGTATTCTAACTTTTTCCATCTGTGTACTTGTTATGAGTTAGTGACTCAGAGCATTGAAGCAAGAGGTTTTGTGTGACACCCAGTCATCTAGTATTTTCAGCAAGAGGTCAGCCTACCCTGACTGATAGTTGGAGGTTAAATTATTTGATAGGCTTTGTATAACTGTTGTTTCTTTCAGATATCTTTCGGTTTCTGTCACTACAACTAGTAGTTGATCTTCTTCTTTGTAGTGCATCACCTAGGCATTGATCTGAGCTACGCTAATTAGCGTGGATAGAGTAATCTTTCCTGCTGTCTATTATATTTGACAGCTGCTGCTCCTACACCTGTCAGAATACCCAAACAGGGATTGCTACTGACTGGCTGTAGGCACTGTTCTAAAGAATTTTCCATCTGGCTTCTTTGATTTTCAGATTGAAGTTTGTCAAGCCAGGTGGTCCTGACAGGACCATATTCCTGCTGAATCGGCTGAAATTCAAGCTGTGGGTTGCCCTTTTGGTACTCAAGCTGTGTGTGGCCAGCATTACTCTTTATTACTCAGCAGTGCACTACTTTGCCCTCCTCAAAAAGGTGCGCTATTTATCTGCTGCTTACAAGTAGCAGTTTGCATTGTCTGGTTCTGAAAATGTTCTATGTACCCTCTGCTTCTATCTAGTAGGCTATTTACCCTCTATATTTAACAATTCCTCCACATAAATCTTTCCTAAGAATAGTTTGTGAATTATATTGAGATTGCCTAAAGAATGATAAATTAATGTGAAATGTTTTTATGAAAATTAGTAAATATATAGCAAAAGGTAAAGCAGGACAAACCTAAAAGTATCAATCAAAACAAATCAAAAGTAATTACTAGGAAGGTATATAGGATATACTGGATTTAAAAGAGCCTCAGCATGGCCTAAACATTAGTTTCAGTAAGTAAGATAGGATGTTGTGGCACTTGGCTCAATGGGGAACAGGTATACCAAGTCACTCAACAGCCAGTAGTAGATGGTAATGTTTTAGAATGGAGAAAAGAAACATAGGGACACATGCTGGTGGCAACTGCAGACACTACTTAAGTTGACTTTGAAACAATGCAACCAACAGGTGAGTTATGGTACGCAAACATAAATTACAAGCCATTTTCTATTTACCTTATAAATCTAAACTATTTACTATTTATATTTGAGCAGTGGGCTTCTTAACCTCTTCAAAAAGTGCCTTACTTAACCTCTACATGAAGAGTGCATTTTCCCCTCTACTTAAAGAAGTATTAAACTCAGTTTTCCCTTTATGTTCACCTGGTGATCCTGCCAGTAAGTTTGTTCTTTTTCAACTTCCTAAAATAGTCCAGCAAAAGTGGCAGTTACAGGGTTGAGACAAACCATTTAACACTGACGGGTGCTTACAACGATCAGCTTTTATTGATTTATATAAAACCTTTATTCCAAAAGGAAAAAAAACTGTTAGGCCTCATTTACATTTGCTTCAAAATGTGGTATTTTACACTTTCTTTTAAAGTACTTTGAATGAAAATCAGCAGAAGAAGGGATCAGCAGAGCAAAGTTTTAGTAGGATGAGCAGAGGGATAATGTGCTTCTGTGCAGGGGGGATACTACTAAAGGGGGAATATACTACTGAGCCAGGAAAATGCTGAGTGATCTGCTGAGCCAAGAAACTCGGGGGATCTATTTAAACAAGGTGTACTACTGAGCCAGGGAACCACTGAGCAGATCTACTAAGCTTGGAAACTGATGATCTGGAGATAAGCTGAGCAGAGGTACTAATAAACAGGAAATTGATGAGTGGGGGTACTACTGAGCCACCAAAAATACCAAATTATTAAAAAAACAAAAACACCAGATACCACACCAACACCTAACCACACCTCAAATCTAGCGACTTCCTCATCACCACTTCCCATTAGACATCACATCCTTTTTAAAAAAAGTAGAAAGCCAACGCACACAGGGCATTTGCTTCATTAAAGTTACATAAAAAGCATCACAAATGCATCAAAAAACATATCAAACATGCATGTTGAAGAGTTAGGTCTCATTTACACTTGCATTGATTAGTAATACACATTAAAGCACCTAACTGCTTAAAAAGTGTTAGCTGGTGTTCTGCTTCGATTTGTTAGTCAAACACACCTAAATCTGTTAGTGCATTTAAAACTACCCTCTCCCCTGATTGAAAATGCTGCCATCCAAGGCGTCACCAGGTAAAACTAAAGGAAAAAAGGAAACAAATGCAGCCACCATATTTAAGCGTTGGCAAGCTGCAATATATTACATTGTTTTTGTAATATATTACATTTGATTCTGTAACACTTTATGTCCTAAAATCTGATACTCAATATGTGTCTTTGTACTTTTAGGTGAAATGGGGCCGAAAGGAGAAAAAGGAAATGTTGGACTTGCTGGCATGAAAGGACAAAAAGGAAATAAAGGAGATATATGTGAAAATGGCACAAAGGGGGACAGGGGAGAAAAGGGAGACCAAGGTCTAATAGGCGTTGATGGTGAGAAAGGGGACAAAGGAGAGAAAGGAGATTTAGGAGAAAAAGGAAATATTGGAGACATGGGAGAAAAGGGAGAAATAGGAGGAACCGGGGAGAGAGGAGTAAAAGGGGATAAAGGTATTAAAGGAGATGCTGGATTGAATGGTATACCAGGTTTAGAAGGAGAGCGAGGAGAGAAAGGAGAACCTGGATCAAAAGGGGACAAAGGTGAGATGGGGGCTCCAGGCTCAATAGGTCCTGCAGGCCCAAAAGGCAATTTTGGCATGAAAGGACTTCGTGGAGCTCCTGGAAAAAAAGGTTCTAGAGGACTAAAAGGCTCCAAAGGTGATAATCCCAAACCCATGAAATCTGCCTTTACAGTGGGTCTATCAAAGCCTTTCCCTGCTCCTAATGCACCTGTAAAATTTGATAGAATACTGTACAATGAGCAAGAAGAATATAACCCTACAACAGGAAAGTTTAACTGCACTATTTCAGGAACCTATGTGTTTGCATTTCATGTCACAGTCAGAGGCCGCCCAGCACGGATTAGTATTGTTGCCCAGAACAAAAAGATGTTCAAAAGTCGTGAAACACTCTATGGACAAGAGATTGACCAGGCCTCAGCCATGTTAGTTTTGAAATTGAATGCTGGGGATCAGGTGTGGTTAGAGGTTGCTAGGGACTGGAATGGCCTTTATGTTAGCAATGACGATGACAGCATATTTTCAGGTTTCCTTTTATACCCAGATGACAATGCAGAGAATCAGTTAACTCAAGCCTAAAAATTATTAGAATTAATTGGTCTTATATTTTAGTAAAAGTGTATCAGGATATGGTGCACATTCTTATTAATTGAAATGGTAAATTTATATGTGTACTGAAAAGATCACTGTAAGCATCCAGATTTATAATATATACCTGTATATGCTGTGTTATTTCCAATCAACTATGTCAACAGTTGATAGAACAAATTTATTGATGTGAATACAGTTTCAGTAATTTCTCAATCCTATGTGAAATAAAAAAATATGTTTAACAATTAATCATTTTGGGAAAAAACATATTTTATAGTTTACTACCAAAATAATTTATAATGGTAATACCCAGAACTGAAATATAATTTTGAAAAAGTCTGTACACACCATTTTTATAGAGTTACTTAGCGATATTGACTATGGCATTATAACAATGAATGAAGCATGCATGTTATCAGTAATTATAGAAAGAGATACATCCATTTAGCTAATCCTATAATTAATACATGCTTATTTCAGGCTTCAGGTGGAAGAGGAATCCTAAAATTTTACTCTGCCTAAATGCCTAAAAAGGATGGTGGTGGAACACAAAGTGTCATCAAAACAGTATTATTACTATGGATATGTTGATATCAGCCACAATGAACTGAGAAACCTCCAATAAATAATTTGAAGTACAATTGTTCCTTAAAACAGAATTTAATACATTTCATTACTTAAAGGAAGGCAAGGAATTTAACCCTCAATAATGAATAGTGAACAAGTCATGTAAAGCAACCATTTTATGACTCAATGGTCAATTTCAAATTGAACACCTCAGCACCAGTACAACCCAAAACCTGGAAATATTTCTTCAGCTTGTATGCAACATTTCTTCTTCTCACCCCTCATCTGAGCAAAACATGAATACCATGATTTCTAGTGAGTAAATGCTGGATACACATGGGAGTATTTTTTTTGTTCAATCCAGCAGGCTCAACAAAAAAATAAAGTGAGAGATTTCTGCACTAACTAAGCGACATTAGTGCAGTGATCTCCCCAACTGAGCTATTGTAAAATAAAAAACAAGGAGTTTATTCCTCAAGTACAACTAACATTATGGGGAATGCTGTTGTTGAGATCTTCTTTTAAGAATGCATGTTCCCTGGCTTTTAAGCTGATGATAATGATTCAGTGCTTTTTATAGGAGAAGTACAGCTAAAGCTCTTTTGGCTGTATTTCTCCTGTGGATCACAGGAGTGTAGTTCGTTCTGCACTCCTGTCACCTGTTTTCAGCTGACAGCGGGCTGAAACCTGCTGTCAGCTGACGTCACTCAGCTGGTCCAAGCTGGGGAAAGATCCCAAATTCAAAGTTGGGATCCACCCCAGAGTCTGGAGCAACACCTGGCTCAGCCTCTCAGTCTGACAGTCCCGTTCTCTGTGATCACTGAATTCTCACCCTTAGAGCCGGCAGGGGACAGATACAGCATAAGACCAAGGCTGCATCCACCTAGGTAAGTATGATTGTGCAAAAAAAAAGATCCCACACTTCTCTTTTAAATTAATGACATGGAATTTGTACATGGATAAGGAATTCGGTAATTTGTCTGACACTCATTTACAGTGTCAGTGAACCAGAAAGTATTAAAGACACGTAAAGTCATGCAATTATCATTTTTAGAAGGGATCAAGAAATGGCAGCCCCCCTACTCCTCTCATGAAAGGGGCATAATTCATATTTCTTTATGTCAAGTGAGCAGCTCTGTATCCACACTCAGTGGGACAATAGTATAGATACAGACTAAAATGTAGCGCCATTGAACACCAGTGCACTGCTATGTAACTTTTCCTGACATGCAGCGCATTTAAGGGTGTACACTATATCAGAAACATTGGGTTGATAAACTGTTCATTTTGCCAGGGAAGTTGCAGATTGCAAGGGAAATTTTCCTAGAGTTTAGGGAATGAGGTGAAGCACTGTTGATGTCCATCATGCAATCATGTGCAAGCAAAAACACTTAACAAAAAAAATGTCCTTGCATGTGATCGATTGTGCTTTGCACAGTGAAAATGCACCACATTTACTAAGCTCTGGGGAAAATTATCTTGAAAAGTGAACAGCCTATTCATCCTTCATCTTTATTTTGATTATTAAAACTATTGTTCCCTGATTTGACTTCAGCTTTACTCTCAATGTACTTAAACAGATTTTTATTTTTGGTAATCAAAAGTGAAAATTCACTACAGTTGTCAACTGCCAATCAGTTGTTGGCTTAATTTAAATGAAAGTTAATCTGCAACAGCTTTTAAGAAAAGTATTTACCCAAATTCTGAGTTTTTCAGGGCTAATGGGCAAGCAATTGTGAAAAAAAGTTGCTGGACACTGGACACTTAACAAAACAAAACAGAACAATAAATATAAAAAAATACTTTACAGCAGGGAGCAGATCATTTTGCTTATTACAATCTCTCAGGTAACATGAAAAAAAAAAAACACCAATTGTTTATATTGTATGCATGGTAGATGCCTTTAGGCTATATATCATGTTGTGGAACAGTATGCTTTCTATGAACAACACATTCAGGCATTTTATATTTTGGATGAATAATTGATTTTTTTACCTTTTACACTTACCTTAGCCTAAATTACAGCAGCAACATCATCCCAATATAATTAATTTCCACTTGAGCTTTTTAAGCTTGTTTTTGCTGAGACACCAGATTTTTTCTATCAAGAGGTTGTAGGTGTGAATTACCTGGTGGAAGTAGCACAAAAAGACCTAAAATCTATGGGAAAGTTTGCTCTTAAAGAATACAGCTAAAGCCCTCAACCTCACACAAACTGGCAAGTGGCACAACAACTCAGAGATCCAACAGTCATTTTTAGGACTGCCCCTCACCTCTTCTTTCTCTCACTCTCCCTCTTCCTCTTCTTACTCCTTCATTTCTGCGGCCTCTTTTTCTTATGTGATTATATTAGGAAGAGAGGCTCTAGGGAGCTGTTTCTTTTTACTCTGCTAGTAGTTCATCATCAAGGACTCCTGCACTTTTTAGCCCATTTTTGTGCCTACAGTGGTAAACTGTGAGGAGGTAGGTATATGGTACACAGTCCCTATTGTGGTCCTCCCAAAGCACAGATTGTGTGGTCTAATACACAGGATCACAAAACAAAATTCTCAAACCATGCAGAGCTTACTAATGTTCATATAAAAGAACTTGTGGGTAGCAGTGACCATAACATGATGTCATGTAATGTTAGCTTTAAACAAGCAGTACATACTAGAAAGATTAAAACACTTTACTTTAAGAGAACACATTTTCCAAGGCTGAGGGCTGCTGTCAGAGACATAGACTGGGAGAGAATATTGGCATTGATGAACACAGAACAGAAATGGGAATTCTTCAAAACCACTGTATGCGAACACACTGCAAAATATATTTCCATGGGCAACAAGTTTAAAAGGCTAAAATAAAACCTATGGGGCTAATGGACAAAGTTATGTGGCTAAAACCTATGTGGTAATGGACAAAAAGGTATAAATGATATGAAAAGAGCTTTTAAAAAATATAAATATGAAGAAACGCTATCATCATTTAACTGTTACAAGGAATATAACAGAATATATAAAAAGGAAGTTAAGGCCACAAAAATTCAGCATGGATTCACGAAAAGACAGAAGCTGTCAGAAAAATCTTATTTCTTTTTATGATGAGGTGAGAAAAACCTGGGACAGAAGAGTGGCTGTGGACATGATATACCTGGATTTTGCAAAAGCGTTTGACACAGTTCCCCACACACGACTAGTGTGTAAAGTAAAGTCTACAGGCTTGGAAAAATCAATTTGTAAATGGATAAAAAAACTGGTTACAAGACTGTATTCAGAGAGTAGTGGTTAATGAATCATACTCCGAATGGTGTAAGTTTTGTTAGTGATGTTCTCCAAGGTACAGTGTTGAGCCCTTACTTTTTATTATATTTATGCTATAGGGTTTGGTATTAAATGTATCATTTCAGTTTTTGCAAATTACACCAAGCTATGCAGTGGAACAATGTCCTTACAGGATGTCTCCAACTTACAAGCTGTCCTCAATGCACTATTTGATTGGGCAACTGTGTGGCAAATGAGGTTTAATGTTGATAAATGTAATGTTAGGGGCTAAAAACATGCATGCATCCTACAAACTAGGGGGAGTACAACTGGGGGAATCAATGGTGGATAAGGATCTGATTGTTCTGGTAGATCATAACCTTAATAATGGCATGAAATGCGGTTTCCAAAGCAAGCAAAAATCCTTTCTTGTACTAAAAGAGTTATGGACTGCTGAGAGAGACATCATTTTGCCCCTGTACTAATCAATAGTAAGACCTCATCTGAAATGTGCAGTTCAGTGTTAGGCACCAGTTTACAAAAAAAAGATGTTGGGGAGCTAGAGAAAGTGCAGAGAAGGTCAACCAAACTGATCAGGCATGGAGGAGCTCAGCTATGAGGAAAGATTAGATGAACTGAATTTATTCTCTCTTGAGAAGAGGGGGGGATTTGATCAACATGTATATATACAAAGGTGGTCCATATAGTGAACTCAGTGAAGAGTTATTCACCTTAATGTCATCACAGAGAACAAGGGGGGACTCTTTACATCTGGAGGAAAAGAGATTTAATCATCAAATACGGAAAGGCTTCTTCATAATAAGAGCTGCGAAAATGTGGAATAGATTCCCTCAAGAGCTGGTCCTGGCCAGCTCAGTATATTGTTTTAAAAAAAGGCCTTGATTCTTTCCTAGACATGCATAATATAACTGGATACTAATATTTACAGGTAAAGTTGATCCAGGGAATATCCAATTTCCTCTTGGGGGATCAGGAAGATATTTTTTCCCATGCAGGAGCAAATTGGATTATGCTTTATTGGGGTTTTTTATGCCTTCCTCTTAATCAACTGTCAGTATAGGATAGTGTATATGGAAGGATAGTTCAGAGTCCAGGGTAACACCTAGCACCATGACATGGCATGCGGGGACAGGTTGATAGTTGTACCTTCAATCTTGACAGGGAAGTTAGGGGAAGGGCCACGTGGGGGAGGAAATATTATGGTTTGGATAAATTGAGTTTCAGGAAGTGATGTGACATCCAGGCTGATATGTCTATTAGTAGATTAGTGATGCGTGTGGAGACTGATGGGGTGAGCTGTGGAGTAGAGAGGTAGATTTGGGTGTTGTCAGTGTAGAAATGGTATTGGAAGCCAAGGGAAGCTATCAGTTGACCCAGGGAGGAGATGAAGATGAAGACTAGGAGAGGTTCAAAAACAGAACCTTGGGGGATCCCGACAGAAAAAGGAAGAGGAGAGGAGAAAGTGAGATTTTAATTGATGCTGAAGGTGTGGTGAGATAGGGAAGAAGAGACCCAGTGAAGAGTGCAGTCATGGAGACCAATGGAGTGGAGTATTATTGAGGAGGAGGGGTGGTCCACTGTGTCAAAGGCAGCAGAGAAGTCCCGGAGTAGGAGTACAGAATAGTGTTCATTGGTTTTAGCTGTTAGTAGACCGTTTGTGAGTTTTAGAAGAGCAGTTTCTGTGAAGTGCTTAGAGTGAAATGCAGACTTAAGAGGATCAAGAATGTTATTTTCAGTAAGATGGTCATGCAGTCGATTGTAGACTAGACGCTAAAGGAGTTTGGAGGAAAGGGACAGCAAAGAGATTGGGCGTAGGTTGTCAAGGTTGGTGGTGTTGGTTAAGGTTGAGGGCTTTTAAGTATGGGGGTGACTAGTGCATGTTTTAGAGAGTTGGGGAAGATGCCAGAAGAGAGGGAGAGATTGAAAATGTGAGTTAGAGATTGTAGGATAGATAGGATAGAGCCAGAGGGTGATCGTAGCATTTGTGTGGGAACAGAATCCAGGGGGCAAATGGTTAAGTGGGCGTTATCAAAGTTTAGCAACCTCATCTATAGTAGCGGGGTTGAATGAAGTAAGTAATGAGTGTACCTGTAGACATGGAGTGATAAGTGGGGGAGATGTCTGTACAGCAGAGATCTCATCACGAATTGTATCAATCTTATTTTTGAAGTGATTGGTGATTTCCTGGGCAGTGAATGAGGTAGTGGGTGGAAGCATTAGTAGAAGTAAAGAGTTGAAGGTAGAGAAGAGCTGAAGGAGAGTGGATGAAAAGGTGTTAATGAGAGTGATAAAATAGATCTGCTTGGCAGCGTGGAGGCAGGAGTAATATTTTTGAAGGGCAGATCTATGTTGGTTGAAATATTTCTGAGCCCTAATCTTTCACCACAGGTGCTAAAGAGTATGGCTATGTTTTTTTTCAGACTTCTGGTGTTTTCTGTTTGCCAAGGTTGTAGGGGTTGGGACCTGATTCTGTGTGTAGTGTGGGGGACAATTGTGTCTAGGATGAATGACAGTGAACTATTATAGACAGAAGTGGCTAGGTTGGGGCAGGACAGGGGTTAGATTTTGTCATAGAGTTGGCCACTAGCAGAGTAGAGAAGTTAAGAGTTAAGGAGGAGGTTTCTGTGAGTAACTGTTAGGCAGTCGAAGAGAGAGGAGGTAGAAGACAGGGAGATTGTGAGGCTAATAAGGTAGTGATGAGATAGAATGTTCATCTGTGACTTAAAGTATACCATACATTGTACATAAAATTGTCACAATCCAACATATATAGTAACAGGCACTAAAAGGTAACATATGCATCCAATCCTCACAATTTATATAACATCCACAGATTTGTAGTGTACATGGACAATCACCATCTGAAGAATATGATAACAATCCTAAAGCTATTCCAGTGTGCATATACAATCTGTTTCTGTACAGTATATAATGCGTAACCATACAAAATGGTCTGCTGCCATATCAAAACTACTTTTCTCAGGTCACTGATAACTCTGATTTCATAAAGTCAGAAAGATCACCCATTCAAGCAAAAATAAAAGGCTAGCTCTCCCCTGATCATAATGGAAAATGGTATTTTTTCTAGAGTGAAGCGACACATACCAAATAAGGTCCTGTCTCAAACAGGCCACACAAGCTCATGCATTTATACATATTGGACTTCTTCAGGGAGCATGGCATGATATGCCTAAAGCCCCATGGGAATTTAAAAGGGCTCCAGCATGTCAAACATGACAACCCAGGAAAAAACAAACCCCTTCACTCTTTTATTACAGCAATGCAAATATTTCTATATCAGGGATGCAAACATTTGTGTCGCTGCAGACTAAATACTTTTGTATCTTATTCTAGCTGTTGCTACCAGATTTTCAGCTTCCTTGTTGCACCTCTCCTCCTTCCCCTCCTTCCTGTTGTTAAAAATCAACTGACCCCCTCCCCTCTCAAACCCAAAAAAAGCTAAAGCTCTTTTTTTATCTGGAAAATAACTGTGTGTATTCTATCTCAATGTTTGGCCTTGCTCAAACTGTTTGAGTCTGTACTTTTAGATCTGTGCCTATTGTCTTGAAAATGTGGTGCCAGTGGCCAATTGGCCTAAGACCCAAGGCAGAGAGTCAAAGGATTCACTTGGTAATCACAAATGCACTCCACAAGGAATGATGGACTTTGCTGCAGCATAAAACTCAGGATGTGGTCCTGACATCCATTCAGACTGTCATCTTTTCTTGGAGCTTAAAATGGAATTGCTGACAAAAAAATATCCTTTCTGGTTACACATGTTGGACTTATTCAAAATGTGCTATCCTTCCTCTGCTTAATTTTTTCCACAACTGTATTTGATTAAGCACATTGTAATTTTTATAGAAAAAAACATTTTCTTTGTTTGTGTCTGCATATTAATGGGGTGATAATGCTTTACCACTATCTAACAAAAGCTTCTGCTCTGCAAATTACCCTCTCACATGCTCTCTGTGCTGATGCACATTAGCCAGGCATATTCCACTGTCAGCTTTTAAAAAAAGAATGGCCTGGGAAAAAAAATTTTTAGCCAGGAACAATTTGGAAATATATGCATGGGAAAAAAGGCACACAGTCTATTATCACTAAAGTGCATATGCCCCCCCCCCTCCCAGTTCTTTAAGATGCACAGCATTTTGCTGCTCACATGATATTCAGTAAGGATTTACATCTACTTTAACCCTTTTGCTGCCAGGTCATTATGTTGTATGGACCTGACAGCATGGGAGTGGGGTTTTACACACACTCCCATTGGCTGCAGCCACCGAGCGTGTGTGTATATCTGACAAGCCATCTTCTGGCTGTCACACAGAAGCAGTCCAGCACTTCTGGACAATTTTCACCAACAGGGAACAGAACAAGATCTTTACCACATTGTATGGAATTGTGTGGAGCTCTAGAGTTCACTATCATTTATTTTCTGTTTCTTTAGCACTGTAATTGTGGTTTCTGTATGCAGAAACAATAAAATAAGTAGAAGCACAGCACCATTTAGTTTACATATACTCTGAAGAATGACAAGGATATGGTGCAATGTCCCCTGAGAGGTACCTGTTAATATAAGCAAAAGGTAAAGGTCTCTGTGGAGCAGCTGTGATGGAAACAGTCCATAGTCCTATCTCTTCAGCTGACTGGCATGGGGCCCAGTTTTCCTGGTGATGCACACGAGTGCAGTCCCTGTCAAATCTGCAGGCAGTAAGTAAGG